TATATATATATATATATATATATATATATATACTGTATTAATTTTTAAATTTTGTATAGTTTATATGATTTAGGAATTTGAGGAAGTGTTTAAAACTGGGACAAACCCCACATTTACATCTTAATATAATAAAGTGGTATTTGTCTGTTCTGTCTGTTTTTTCTTATGTGTCCATGTTGTTCCAGGCATTTCCAGCATGGCTGTGTTCGCGGACATTAGCAAACCAGAGGACGTTCAGAAGATGATTGATGACATTGTTTCAAAATGGGGCACAATTCACATCGCTTGTAACAACGCTGGCATCAACAAGAACTCCGCTAGTGAGGACACTAGTCTAGAAGAATGGGACCAAACCTTTAACGTTAACCTCAGAGGGACTTTCATGTGTTGCCAGGTACCACTTCATTTATATATTTAGTTTGTCATTAATTCCAGCTGAGATAAACCATTTAGACAAACATAACTACATCAACTATTACAAGTTCCTCCTGGACCATAACCTGCTGCGGATAGATGGTGTTATATGTGTAGACAACACATTGTTTAAAGGGAGAGTTTATCTCAAGGACTCAGCAGATGATTTCGGGAAAGCCTTGCAAGATTTTAATCAATTTGTCACAAATGATCCTCGAGTAGAGCAGGTGTGCATATTTTTCTCTTAAACATGAGCTTTTATTCATTTTTATAAAACTTATGTTCTACAATCAACAGTTAGGCAACCCAGACAGTTCTAGGACTGAATTTGAGTTGTCTGATCCTTGTTTATAGGTCATTATTCCTCTGAGAGATGGCCTCACTATAATACGAAGAGTGCCCTACATACCACAGCTGAAGGTATAGTATACTTAAAATATTTGTATCAAATATTAATCAAGAGTAATTGCTTAAGTGTGTGTTCAAATACACATTTATGCTAATTAACATGTCTTATATAAAGCTTCAGTACAGCTGTTGATCAGATCGCTGATGATGATCTATGCTTCATAGAGCACAGTGACCTATGATGAGGTTTTCCGAGGAGTTCAAGGGAAGCAAGTGCTGGACAGGTTACGTTTGGATGGAAAAGTGGCCTACGTGACCGGGGCCGGTCAGGGCATCGGCAGGGCCTTCGCACATGCTCTTGGAGAGGCTGGAGCCAAAGTCGCCATCATAGACATGGACAAAGGAAAGGCAGAGATTGTGGCCCATGAACTGACTTTGAAAGGTACTTTCATGTTCCTGTACTTCAGGCAGTGTTGTCACTGTTAACTCAAGTTAAAACTGCAACTAAAACTATTAAAAATAATTTTCGGGATTTTAAATAAAGCAAAAAAAACAAAAAACAAATGTAAAACTTAAAGTTAAACAACTTCAAAATTAGAAATGGCAACTATGTAAAAATGCTAAAATGACTAAAACTAAAATACAAATGAAATCTAAAAACATAATTACTGTATTATTGATGAAAACCAAGATTAAAATGAAAACAGAAAATATAAAAATAAAAGCTAATCCAAAATATTAATAAATACTATAATACTATAATAAATAACACTAAAATAACACTGCACTGAATATTCAACCATTTAGTCTAGGCATTCCTGAAAAAATTCTTGTTAATAATGCAGCATGCATTTACAAATAATTTCAGAGTCCCACTGTTATTCAGCATCATGTCGTCACCAGATAAGAGCCTGAACCCAAGTTCAAATCCCCACCTAACATACAATGAACCAAGCACAATTGCCACTGAACCTGACAGCCATTAATCACCATGCATTTTTGTTGTATGTAAAAGAGCAGCTTTAAAGGGGTTATAGGATGCTACATGCACTTTTACAAGTTGTTTGAACTGAAATGTGTGTTGGCAGTGTGTGGACACAACCACCCTATACTGATAAAAATCCACCCGGTGTTTTTTTTTTATCTCGTTAAATGTTTTCCCCTTTATCAAATCGAGCCGATCTCAGATGACTGTCTGTTTGACGTCACACACAGGCAGTGAAGTCGGTGGAGAGCAACTGCGCTCGACTCCACACTCCGACACAGCCGCCTCGCTGTCGCGAGAGTTTTTTGGCACACGTCAGCATGACATCAGAGCAAGTCGGAGGTAAGTCGGACATAACCAAACTATGTTAAAGACTTTTCATTAAGACCCTAAAGAATCATATCAACTTGTGGAAAATGTGCATCATATGACCCCTTTAACATTTTTTCATGTGGGTTGCTGTTACTTGTATTTGCCCAAACTTTTGCAGATTCTAATTGCTTTTGTATATTAGCAACAACTTTTCCATTAGTTTCTGACATTTCCCAGGAGACGGAATAAAAGCTCTGATAGGGGAAAAGAGAGGTGTGAAGGAAAGTGATTTCATACCTACAGCATTAGAAGACATTAAATCCTGCCAGGCACCAAATAAATCAGAGTAAGCTGTTTTACACAAAACCAAGAGGTGATGGAGATGCCTCACGCGCATTAAAATGAACGCCGGGAGTTTTTGACACTTTTTGTCTCTCTGCTCATCCAGGGATTGTTATTCCTCTCCCTGTAGACTGTAGACGTGGAAGTCTGATTAGTGAAGGTGTCAATACTGTGACGTTCCTCTGAAAGCACATTTGTCTCTTCTCTCCCTCAAATTACCACCTCAGGCGGCCGGTCATGTCATGCTGAAGCAAGGATACGGCAAGATAATCAACACAGCTTCCATGGCCAGTTTAATAGGTGAGTGATGATTTTTATGCCACCATAAGCTGATATTACACTGTCTCTTCCCTCTGAATTTAATACTCTCATCAAACGTAAGGGTGGGGTTTTGGAAAGAGAATATCAAACAAGTAAAATAGAGAAAGAGAAAGAAAACTTGACAGTTTTTTTTTTTGTTATAGGGTATAGATACGTACACACGTGTCAATGATAAATACAAGGAAAAAGTTTTGAAATCTAGGCTAAAACGTGCCAAACTCTTAGAAGTGTCATGTTGGTTTCATATAGTAAAGTTTCAGTTTAAAAAATGTGGTACCATCAAGTAAATTGTAATAACATTTTTCTTAATCATTGTAACAATGTTAAATTTATGCATATTATCATTAAAAATATAAATAAATAACAATAAATGTATAATTTATTTATATATATA